GGGGAGGCGGCGGGAGGCGCTGGGGGAAACCCCGCCGCCTGCAGCGCTGCGCGGGCGGGAGGGTGTGCCTTCTGCCGCTCGTCACGCCGGACACTCGTCGGTCACGGGGGGCGAGCCGCGCCCACGGCCCTAAGCCGCGCACGGGTGAGCTCTTGCGGGGCTCAGAGCCGAGAAGGGCGCAGCGCGCCTGCGTGGGTGTCGACGCGAAGACTCGGATTTCGCTTTGCGAGGGGAGTTCAGTCATCTCAAGGCCTGTGGCTGGTGATGTCTCTTTTAGCTGCAGCTTTCTGTGGATGAGAGATGTCACAGGCGGCGACAGAGACGGGGCTGCGGTGGACAGAGTCAGGGAATTTGGAGTTTCTGAAGCTCCCTTAGCCTTTCCGAGCTTTAGACTTGGAAATGCGTGACAGGGCCTTGTAGTCCTCCTTAAACCGCACCCCCCACCCCCCGTCAGTGCGGCGGAAAGGGGAAGGTTATCCTGTGGTTTCAGAATAAGCGACTACTAAAGTGACAGGTTGTTATTGTGATAAACAGCAATGGTGTCGTGCTCTAGGGAAAGAACAGATGCAGCTCTGTAATAAAATATCTTAGGAGTAATTTTTGAGTAGTGAGATCTCGCTAATGATTTTTTTTTTTTTTCTGGCAACCTTAAGTCACTCTTCGCTGACCACTAACAGGCACTTCCCTTGGCTGCAAGCTTAGAGAGGAAGAAGAGAGGACAGGTGCTGGTGCTGTAGAATAGAATGTGAAGGAAAATTCTTCAATGGAGTATAAAGGCACAGGTTTGAAATAGCTTGAGTTGTAGCCACATGAAGAAAATGTTTTAAGTGGTTTCTGTGGAATGAGAATAGTGAGTACTTCTCACTGCTCCCATGTTCTTTTCTCTATGCACACATCTAAACACAGGCTCCCGTCATACCTAAGGGGAGTCATCTGGGGTTTTTGTTGTTTTTCCCCTTGTGTAGACTCACACGTTTTCTTTCCCTTCCTCCCAGCCAGGGTACTGATAAAGAAGAGTCCCAATTTTCTTGAAGTACCTTCTGGAGCGGTTCATACTGTTTACATTTATTGGGATGCCTTGGTTGTTTTTTTAGAAGTCGATTAAAAAAATTGGCTTAACAATATTAAAATTACCTTGTGTTTCCAATGGACATTACTGATGTAAATATACCTATGTACCACTTTATAATGGGCAGATAAGAAGAATTAGAAATATTTTTGAGGGAGGGGTAAATCTAAGCACATTTCAGTAGTACTGATTCTTAGAACTCCTGAATAATTTGGCATGGATTTAAAGGGGCAACATGAACTGCCCTTTTGACCTGCTTTCAGCAGTCAAGAGCAGTTTAACGCAAAGCCCAAGTGCACATTCCTGCCTGAGACAGTGAGTGCCTTCCTGCTCCAGAAATAAACTTGGACAGCTCTGAGGTGTTTAAACCATTGAGGGATTATAACATGGGAGTGAAATGAAGCCTAAAATTGGCATAGCTATCTTGTGGCTCTATGTGTGGCTTTTCTTCACACCCCTCTTTGTTTTTAAATCAAGAAATGACTTCAGAAGTTTACTACAAACCAAATGTATTTTTTTCCCCTTCCTGATGCTTTTCACCTGAGATTTCTTACTCTCAGGATGTGGGTTTTCACCAGCAATTTTATGTAGAATTTCTATGCCTCACACAATTTTCAATACTTCCGTTTAACCGGTTGCTGAAAATCCCCATTCCCTCACCCCCATCAGAGTTGTTAAATCAGGGGCCAACTATTTTCACTAGTCAGAATTCTGTGTCAAGACTTCAAAATATCAGATCAGCTAGTTAAAGCATTGAGAAGGAAGATGGAGCAGGCTTGGTCACACAAATCAATATGAAAATTATGAAAAAGGAAAGTATTTTCAATTTCTTTAGTGATACCATGTATAACATAGAGTTTTGTGTATATGTGTGAATTTTAAAAAAAAATCATGTGATTAAAGTGAATTTGTGAGCCATACATTTTTGTTTTGGTTGGGAAATAAAAAGGAATTTGGAAAACAGTTTGGTCTAAGTGGACAATTGCCCACTTTCCCCCCCTTTTGGTATATGACGATCGATACAATTTAGGTTGCTTATATAAATAACATCTGTTTTGTAGCTGGGATGCCAATCAAGTTTTTATCTTTATTTCTTGCTTAAAATAGTTTTTAAATTTTATTTTTGCTAGTAGAATATGATGCATAGCATTACACTTTCTTGTGCTCTTAGTCCATTTAACTTTTACTGTGACGTTTTTGTGTCTTCAAATGGCTTTCAAGCAGAGTTACTTCTGCCCTTTGACCCTATTGGATGACTTTGACTTTCAAAGATTGTATATAAATGTTAAAATGGTTTCTCAAAAAAGGTTGCCTTGATTTTCAATTGAGAGATTGGCATAAAGGATTCTTGAATAACTTTTTTAGTTAGCAGAATGATAAATGCATGCCAATTTATAATTGCTGAACTGACAAATAATAAAAATATTTCTTACGTGTTTGTCAGTTTGCTCTTCACTCTTTTTGTGATAAAGAACATGGATTGCTTTTTTAAGAAAAAGGCTCTTGTGTGTTTTTCACATTATAAGCTCTACTCTCTTTACTGCTAGTTGTGCATAGACCTTTCCATGGGCAGCTGGAGAGCTGCTGACTGATTCCTAGTTTGAAGCAAAGGAGGAAAAATTTCTTGATGTGCAGGTTTAGTTAAAAGTTGTTATTTAGCTTGGGAACACAGGTCCTCTTTGAATCGTTTCCTTGGGAATATGGGGGAGATTAGTATGATTTAGTTATTGCTTTTGGAAAAGAGAATGGAACCACTTCTTAGACTAAGTTTCCTGCTTGCATAATTGATGTTGACCTAGTTATGTAAACTAGCTATGTATCTGCCTCACATTTCATCTGTGCCGATTGTAGGCCTTGAAGGAAATGTTTCTCTGTGACTATTCTGCTTACCTTCTGAGATGACTGTGCAGGTAATAAATGAGGAAGGAGGCCAGGTTGATGATTGATTTTAGTACTGTGGGAGTAAAGAAACAGCCCAGCTTGCATTTGGTTTCATTCTTTAATGTTTTCAGCGGATATTGTTCCCTGCTGAGAATGCAAACCTTTTCATTTCATTTCATTTCATTTCATTTCATTTCATTTCATTTCAATTTCATTTCAATTTCATTTCATTTTTTATATTTGGAGGATAGAGAAAGGGGGAGGGGAAGGGACAAGAGTATACCATAAAAACTGCGGAACTTTGTTTAGTATTTATTGTTTGTAATTTTAGAGTTCTTGTTTGAAGCAGGTGCATGACTGCTAAATGGCCTGAAGCTGAATATGGCATACATGCTTTTCAGACTGAAATCAAGAGTACTTTGCTAATTTTTGGTGCACTCTTCAAATATGAATGAGTCTCCTAATCAGTGCACTTAAAGTTTTTACTTTTCTCTAAATGGTGTAAAGCTGCTCCGTGAATTATCTCCATCAATAATTAGTACCTAGTTTTCTTACTTGCTAGATTGCATTATAGTTTGACATTTCTCCACAAGTCATCACCTTTATTTGACAGTTATTGTTGCTGAATAAAATATAACCTTCAATCAGAAGCAAAGGAATAAACATCCCTTCTTTTATAATGGAATGTGTTACGTCTTTTAGATACTTGATAACCAGAGATGCTGTCTCCACCACCTCCAACATTGTCATAAAAGAAGTGAGTTTTAATCTTTTATACATGATATCAGCTAAAGGCCAAGAAGGAATGGCCTCCTAAGTCTTCTATGATAACTAATTCATTGTTTGGGTGGCCATCTTTCTTCTAAATACCATAAAGGCAGGGCTCATGTCTTTCATTACTTAAATATCTAGGAGTGTTCTTTGGAACCTCGTCCTATCCATTTATTGCTTTACTCACTGAAAGGAGTAATGGCCCTTCCTATACATAGCTATACTGATTTCCAAAAATTTATTTGAAAATGATTGTTTGAAATCTGTAACACATTTTATTATAGATTCACTCAAGCTGAACTTTTTTGTTGTTGTGTATGTTTGTGCCTTTTGGGAAGATCTATTTTTTCAAGCTCATTTTTTATTGTGAAATAATTCAAGCATATAATTGAGAATAACATAGCATCTGTATACCCTCAACTGGCATTATCAAATCTTAATTTCATGCTGTGTTTTCTCAAGTTGGTTTTTAATTTATAAAATAACAGAACAAAGTACTATGGAGATGAATTTCTGCTTAGAACTTTATTTGTATGGAAAACTGCCAAAAACAGCTCTTTCTGCTATGGTGTAGGAATTCCTCCTGATCATACCCCAGGGAGGTTTTAGGATTAACTTTGGGACAGAGTCCAGAAGTGAGGGTGCAGAATAATTATTTCAAAGAAATGTAGTTCAGTCTCTGGTGCTATCTCCCACTGTAGTTGCAGGCAGGGCAGTGAGTGTGGGTGTGCTCCTGGGGTTGTGTGAGAAGCGAGCTGCAGCTGTTAATGTAAATGCATAGATCAGTTGCTCATAAATCAGGGTTGCTGGTCCCCATGAGTATCTACCACAAAGGGAAACATCAGAACTGGCTTATTGCCTCTAGGAGTGTTTGCATGAACCAGTGTATATATGTAAAGTTTGGTAAGTGGAGAAGTGTGAAACAAAACAAAGCTTAGATCCTGAGTGTGTCTTTGCTAAGACTGGGGTGTCTTAAGGTACAGAACTATTATAAACATGCTATTAACCAGTTATTTTTCCTTCTCTTATTTCTATCTCTTGTAAGAGACTTTATTAGTAATATTTGTCCATTTTCTTCAGAGCAATGGAGTTAATAGGGGGAAGAATATTTATTTATACTTGTATTCTGTGTTCCTGCTACTTGAAGTGCTGGCCTGCTGGACCAGGCAGGCATCACGAGGGAGCTGGTTAGAAATGCAGAATCTCAGGACCCCACCCAGAGAGACTGAGTCAGAATCTGCATTTTAACAGGATCCCAAGGTGATTGTAGGTTAAAGCTTGATTCTATATGATATGTGCACACTGCCAAAGTTTTATAGAATTTAAACTCTGAATAGGGTAAATAGTGGATCATTTTTTATTCTCTGTCCTTAGAAGTTGGCTGTTAGGTGCCACATTCTATAATGCCTTCATTTTTGGTAATCTCTAATAGTATATGAGTTATATTCAAAATTGCTGATAGAATCTCTCTCTCATTCTCTCTTTCTACTTAGTTGCATCATTTTCCTTGAAGACATTCCATTATTGTTCGTTGACCTTTCCCTGACTACTGGAGTCCTTTGGATTTGAGTTATGTCAACAGCTGCCTTGATTACTTTGGTTAGAAGTGGTGGGAACCAGATGAGAAGGAGAGTGCTGCTAAGCTCCCGCCTACTGCAGGATGACAGGCGGGTGATACCCACATGCCACAGCTCCACTTCAGAGCCCAGGTGTTCTCGGTTTGACCCAGATGGTAGCGGGCGTCCAGCCACCTGGGATAATTTTGGGATCTGGGATAACCGCATTGATGAGCCAATTCTGCTGCCACCCAGCATTAAGTATGGCAAGCCAATACCCAAAATCAGCTTGGAAAACGTGGGCTGCTCATCACAGATTGGCAAACGGAAAGAGAATGAAGACAGATTTGACTTTGCTCAGCTGACCGATGAGGTCCTGTATTTTGCGGTTTATGATGGACATGGTGGACCTGCAGCTGCCGATTTCTGTCACACCCACATGGAGAAATGCATCATGTATGTTCAGTGATTTTCACCCTTGACTTTGTAGTTTGCCTTATGCTTCATGTTTAAGCTTTCACCTTTTGGCTAAGATGTTCAGTCTTAATGTAGTTATTTGAGTGGTTTTATAATTGTTTTATGAACAAGCAGTAGCTTAAGCATGCCATTTCTTACTGATGATTATTACCATTTCAGAAATACATGTTTTAACAACTCCCCTGGTGATAGCATTGACCATGTTAAAGAACAAAAATTCAACTGAGCAAAATTTTAAATATCTAATTGGCTTTATTGAATGATTCTTGAATTTAGCATCCCATTTAGCAAATAGAAAGGAGCTTGACAATATAGAAGGCTCTTGTAGGCCGAGGAGAAAAGGGACAAGGAAAGAGCCGAGCACTTCTTCCTCTGAGTAATGAGAAGGGCCCGTGTGTCAGGCTCCCTTGTTTGTGCTAGCCAGAAGGTTCCAGACTGACCAGTTAAGATCACTATTCCCAAGAAAGGTTGGAACTACAATTGAGTTAGGTTTTAAGCCTTGTTTTGATGACGTGGGCTTAGCACAAGTCACTCCATTTTGGGCCTGTTGTTTCTTTTAACAGCCAGAATCTATGTTACTTGATTTGTGATAATTTCAAGAGAATTAACATAAAGTACGTGTTCTCATGTATTATAAGAGTCTATCGGAAGCATTTTACTAATGCATGGCACCTAGCTCTTCAATAAGTAGTAATTATACTCTCAAGTGGCATGAATAGCTTTGAATACTTGTTGAACATAGCTTTAGATAATTGGCATTAGTACGGGGAAATGCATTTAATGTGGGTGTTTTGGAGCTCTTTACATAGTTTATTTAATGCAATTGCTATAATGTATTTTTGAGGATCACACTACTGCTAGCATTAAAAGAGAGGGAAAACGTGACAGAATTATGGCCATGACTATTTCTTGTCTTCCTGTGCATAGTTGTTCATACTGTTCACTAGTTGAGTTAAGCATATTTTGCTTATCCACAGAATTCAGTGACTTAATTTAATATGAAGGAACTTGACCTCTCAGGGTTGCAGTAAGGATTAATCTTTTAATATGGGAACTTGGACTTTTACTTTAGTGTCCTTAGAGGCTTTATCACTATTCCTCTCACGTAGTAGACACTTAACTAACACCTGAAAGGCAAGCCATGGAGGTCCGTTGTGTGGAGTGATTGCTAGCTGGAATGACCTGAAGGAGGGGAGAGGAGAGGAGAGGAAGAGGAGACAACTATTGTAAAATGATTTTTTGGGGCTCTTTTTTCCCTCCCCACAAAGGAATTTGCTCCCTAAGGAGAAGAACTTGGAAACTGTGTTGACCTTGGCTTTTCTAGAAATAGATAAAGCCTTTGCAAGTTACGCCCACCTGTCTGCTGATGGTAAGTAAAACAATCACATTCCTTAGGGTCCATGGGAATGTCTGGATAAAATGGAAACAATTTAAGCTCTTTAGGGGTGGGAATTTTAATGTAACTGCATTTGTAACAATAGTTATGTGGAAAATGATTTTATATAAAGAACTGCTTTAAGTGCTGTTTGGAATACAAACTAATGTTAGTACTTCACTTTTAAATGAAATATGTATATTGGAGAATTTTCAGAAGTTGAAGCTCCAAAATGGTTCTGATGTTGAATTTCAATTTTAAAAAGATTAAAATTAAAAAAAAATCTGATTGCATATTTTATGGACAAGATACCCATCCATAGAATGAGAGGGTTTATTATTTTTGTTTCTTTAGATGAATCTGAGGAGCAAATAATTGAAATACACTATAGGATAATCTCATCTAGCCAGGACAGTAATGTCAGGCAAGGAGAAAATTGCTCATTGGTCCTAGATGGGAAAGGACAATGACTAACTTACACTACTTTGTATAATTAAAATGAAGATATATTTTCTCTTACTTCTTAAAAAACTTGATCTTGCAGCTTTCCTGTTGTAACTAGTTATATTTTTTTGTTTTGTGTGTTAAATACAAGGTGAGTTTAAAATTTTGTGTACTGTTTGTTCTTAAATATTAAAAGTAAATGTTTCTGATTTTGACTAAATTTATCAGAACCATTTCAGGAAACATAGTTAATGTTTTCTAGTTAGCCAGCCCCCATAGCTTTTGCTTATAAAGTTATTTTGAAAACTTCTGCAACAACCATACAAATGTATGCCTATAGAATGAAAATAATCATGCAGTAATATTAACCTATGTTTGGTTCATCCTTTTGTTTAAAGGAGTTCCAAGTGCACCACAGAAATGTCATTTTCATAATTTTCTTTTGGAGTGCCTGGGGATGGAAATTACCCCCAATTCCCAGATAAGGAACTGAAACTCAGAGAGAGGTAAAGAGCAGTTAGTTGCTGGGGTTTTCCTGGCAGCCACTGTGGCCTCTCTCATGGGCATACTTAATAATCAAGATTAGAGAAGATGTCTCTAGGATGACTCAGTAAGAGAATTTCCTGTTTGCTTGTTTTTTAATTGATTTGAGAGAGAGAGGAAGGGAGAGAGAGAAACATTGATTTGTTGTTCCACTTATTTATGCATTTATTCGTTGCTTCCTGTATGTGCCCTGAATGGGGATCGAACCCTCAACCTTGGTGTATCTGGACGAACAACACTCTAACCACCTGACCTACCTGGCCAGGGCTTCCCGCTCGTTTTTGAGAAACTTTTTATTATCATATGCCTCAAAAAAGCATTAGAGTCCATCTCTTTGTTCAGAGATTCATTTTCTCATTTGTGCATCATTCAGGCCGATTTTCTCCGTTATTCCTTTGGACTTCTCTTCCTTCCAGCTGGCCCCTCAACTTATGAAAAATAGGAGTTGAGAGATGGTAAATTTTAGGCATATGATTGTTCTTAATGGATAAAATATTTGGAGAAGAGGACATTAAAACACTTTCTGGTCACTTTATTTTTATAACTGAAAATTCCTATCCATTTTGGTCTGCTGTTTCCTCCGTAAGCGGATTGTCTGTATCTCACACTGGGCCTGGTTTTCAGAAGAGAGTGTGCAAGTGCAACATGGGGCTGTGGCTAGCAGCCCTGAGCACAAACCCCTCATGGGTGCCGCCAGCCCTTTTGTAAAGGATCTAATCAATGAAGAGGCTTAAAACAATGATAAATTCAGTGTTAAGTAGAGCACCCCTGTCATTTATTAAATGATAAATTATAACTAAAGGAAATTTAGAACTTAGGGAGAGAACTTACTTAACTTGCTTAAAGATGCCTTTCTCATATGAATAGAGGTTGTTCAAAGAAATTAATTATAAAAAATGTAATCCATTTCTAAAAATGAAATAAAAATATATTTATTTATTTAATTTAGTTCCTTTGCCCCATGCTTTGAGTTAATGATCAGAATTTTCAGCCCTGGCCGGGTGGCTCAGCTGGTTAGATCGTCTCCGAACGACAAATCGATGTTTCTCTTTCCCTTCCTCTCTCTAAAATCAATTAAAAGAAGACTTTCATAAGATTCTAAAATTTATTTTTCATTTAATGACCATTTGTTTGCAAGTATAATGGAGCAAGTCAGAATGATGCTTAGTGTACTATTAAAAAAATAAGGTCTATTAAGGCATTGTTGTTCTTAAATCTTATTTTGTATTTTTATGGATCAGTTAGTCTGTATTTTTTAGTAAGTATTTTGAGAACAACTTTAAAAATCTTAATAAGTTGCCAAGGCTTTAAAAAGTGGCAAAAATTGCCAGTAGACATTTGGGGCGTATTTTGTCAAATGTATTAAAGCCACTGAAAATAGATGCTTTATGTTCTTTAACTTTTCAATTTTGGGATTAAGAAAACCCCTAGACCATATCAGATTTCAAAGCTATTATTTAAATTAATTTATTTTTTAGTTTTAAATAAGAACTAAAGCAGTGTCAGTATTATAACAGAGGACAATATTTTTTCTCAACATAGATATGGTTGGGACTAATATTAGTTAAATAAAATTGTGAAATAATGGCAGTTTGCCCTCTCCAGTTTCTTTCACCTTTTTTTTTAGTTAGCATCAGCCCCATTTTCTCCTTGAATGATTCCTGTGAGTAGCTTGCATGTGGGGACCATGCTTATTCAGTTTTGAATATCCGTTGTTCAGCACCCTGCATAGAATCTGGAAGGTACTCAATTGAATTGAACTGGTCTCCAGTGCCTACTCGTCCTCACCAAAGTCATCATAATATATTAGTTGATTATCCTATAGCTGATTTAACAAAATTATTTGTATTACATACGTGTTTCAATGAGTTATTACTCCTGAGTGGATTTGAATTTTAAGTAGGGGAAACCTGAAAAAAGATTGGTTTAACCATAGGAATGAATCACTAATAGTGGAATTTCAGATATAAATGGGATGTGTGCCCCTCGATCATACTGTATTAGCTTGCTTAAGAGAAAGTGAAAATAATAAAGTGAAAATAAAACATTCTCATCAAGACTTTAGTCCAGCCCTGGCTGGTGTGGCTCAGTTGGTTGGAGTGTTGTCCTGTGGACCAAAAAGTTGTGGGTTCAATTCCCAGTCAGGGCTCATACCTAAGTTGCATGTATGGGAGGCAACTAGTTGATTAAAAAAAACACTTTAGTCCAAAACTGTCACATCTGCATAAAGTACTTCAAATGATACTGTTAGCATTTAAAATATTTATTATTTCAGTATAAACGTGATAGTTTGAGAATAAAATCAGAATGCCACTTATGAAGAAATGGCAAGACTCTTGGCCCTAAGAAATTGCTTGCTATTTTTACTGATTTGTTGATGAATTTTGAATTTACCCTTATTTACAAATAACTAATTTCATCATCTTTGAAAATTTTTATATTCAATTTATACCAGTCATGTATATTTTTGCAATTAACCAGCCAGTAAATTCAAATGATCCCATTAGTCTATTGCTTATGAACAAATTGTCACTTAAACCAGATGGTAGAAAACTTAGATTGTAATCCTATATATCCTATAAACTCTTCAGAGCATTTCTAGATTGCTAAGGTTTGAAAGCAACAAAACTTCTCAAGATACAAATGGATAAAAACGAGAAGACTTGCTCTGACGTTCAGAGTTGGAGATGGTGACAGCATTGTGAGTCTCATCGGAAACTTCCATGCACTTCATACTATGTGATCTCTTTATGGAAGAATTAAGCCACACCGTAACCGGTGTTAGAAAGGCAACGTTTTTGAGTACCTTCTTATGCACGGGTAGCCAAAAGAGAAAAAAATAAGGATGTCATTGAAGAGATATTCTTATTGTGCTTTTACTGCTCTCAGCTATTACTTTAATTTTGGTGTTCATGAGTCACACATCTCCCGAACACCCATTTTTAATAAATATTGAAACTGTATTGGTTTATACATAGTGCTGTTTACACAGTTTAATAATTACCAGGGGGAGGTGGGGGTTATGCCTTGAAAAGGACAGCTTTTACTCTTTCTGTTGCCATTCAAAATCGTGATCATTTTTGTTTTGATGTGTTGACCTGCAACACTGGGGGAAAGAGAGAGCTGCCGAAACACCCACTTTATGAATTATATAAAGCTCAAGAGCTCTACTAGCCTTTATTTAAACAATTATTCTACTGGAAAAATGGCTTCTAGATACTAAACCCCTGCATTGAGCTTCATTAACAACTGTGTTTCTCTTTGAATCTGGTATAGGAGGTGCTTTGATTCCTCCTTGGTATAGATTTTAATCTCTGTAACTTGGTGGTATATTGTAGTTCACACCTTCTCTAACTATGTACTGCTTGTCAGATACAACAAATACTGTATTCAATGCTATACCCTGAATTTTCCTTTCTGTTTTTGGGACAATTCTGATATCGCTACCAAACAAATATACAGTGCATTTTTTTCAACTCAATAAAGGTACTGCTTTACTCCTCCAGACTGAGTGTGTGCTGTGTGAGAGTATATATAAGTATGTAGATGTGTGTCTATATCACCACTGTGTGTTTTGTTACACATGCATTTGTATATGGCTTTTCCTGTCTTGGGAAGCCATGAAACTAAGAAGTATTGCTCTGTGATGAGAAAATAGACTCGACTACAAAATACCATCAACATGTGCAAACTGAGTTTTGGAATCTTTGATTTGGCATCTCCTGGAATATTATGTAATTTGCAAGTGAAATTTTCACCAACATAAAAACCCTTCCCCTTATTTTGCAGCTCTTTCTCTACCCTCCCCTGTGTTGCAGGTTTGTAATGTTTGAGCACAATTCCTGGGTGAATTTCCTATTTGCCTCTGTGCGTGTTATTTGTGGCAGAGAACTGTGCCTGCTCAGCAGCTCTAGACCTGGAGCCCGTGGACACTATATGCTGGGCTTCAGTGGAAAGAGGGATCAGCTTAATTTTGTCCCAGGTGAAGGAGTCCGGCGGTTCCTAGCCTGGACTACTGGAAGGTTCCCACATCCTCTTTGTCCCATTAGTTGAGATGACTTGCAGTAGAAAATGTCCAGTGAGTGTTAAGAACTTATTAAAAGATGTCTTAGTTTTATAGTTTTGTTGTTAGGGCAAAAAGTGAGAATTTCTACTTTTATATTAAATGATAAATAAAATAAATGTTGACTTAATATTTATATGCTTAGATGCTTAGCAAACCAGAATCAACACTTAGTTTTGAAAACTTTCCCTTAAATTCTGGGATTTTGGAACTGTGAAGCTGGGTAGGTAAAAATGTAAGCTCTTTGAAATTCCTAGGTGCCAGAGCCATGAATTATAATCCTAAACAGCTAAACTTGAAATTGTCATTTATGAAATTTTAACTCTTTTGATGTAGCCAGTTAAAAATCACTTTTTAATAAGCTGCTGCTGACAGTTTAGACAAAGGAGAGGAATACTAATCTCCCTGGGTAGATAGCATCCGAGTAAATAAAATACCTGAGCTGTTCTCTTGCCAGGCTCTTCCAATCATTTGAAAATATTGCAGTGGTTAAACTCTCAAGATTCCATTGTATAGTGTTTTGGAAAACTCAAGTTAACATTTGTAATATAAAGATCACTGATATGCTAAAACTTTTATACAGTGATGAATATATTTTAGCATTGCCAAGATATTGTTGCTTTCACACAACAGTTCCAAAATCAAGAGACAAATGGGAAGATAGTAGAACTATGAATGCTATTTCTTAATAAAGTAAATTCAGCATGGATATAAAAGGTTAAAGTAGGCTTTATTCATGTTTTTCCATTTTACTTTTCTGATTAAAGCAGGCATTTTAATATACTGATTGGAATATATATAATATATAATATACATATTATATATAATATATATAATATACATATTATATATATATTTTTTATATATATATAAAATCTTTCCAAAATGCATTACTGGTGAAGTTTTTTAAATTGTCTCTTTAAAAAAATTTTTGGCTAGATTGAGCCTCAATCAGTGAAATCAATAGCACTTCATTTTCCCTAAATCTACCTTTGAAGTCAAAATCCTCTTTGGATTATCACCTGAATTTTTTATTTAGATGCTCTAAAGAATTAACCAATACAAAAGACAATACCTGCTTTAAATAAGTTATTTTTTTTCCTATTTCTTCCAATTTGCTTTACTTTTTAGCCCATAATTTCACAGTATTCTCTCTTGGCAAGGCTCAATACACTTAAAATTTTAAAATAAGTGGTAACAAACTGAGAGCAGATACCGTTAGAAAAATTCAAAGGAAAATGAAAAAGTGCAGTTTTGGATGGGGTAAAGGAAATAGTGGTGAAATCAAGCCATGTAGTATTTAATTTTGTTATTGGCCACAGAACATTAATATTCTTGGAAAGCTGTAGACTCAGGACATAACCATGAGAGTAGCACTTGGCAGTACAGTCCTACACTTGGACAAAGATGAATTGTATTAGATCTTTCTAGAGCTAGGAGTGTTAACCACACCAAGCTTATGGGAAACCAAATAAATCTCACCCCCCCCCC